GAGGATTTGATTTAGTATTAAACAAGATTTGCACTATGTTTGCAATTTTGGACCATAATTTTTGAATAAAAATTTTTATTTTTATATTGAACACATTTTTCAATAATTTTTTATTTCATAAAATCAAATTGTTATAATATATTTTCTTATAAAAATTTCAAATGTCGCAATCCAAAAGAGACCAAAGGGAGGGGTTGAGTGGTTCGGGAAGGAGGGCGTGTAAACGAGAAGTCTGGAGTCGAATCCTTCCACTTACAATTAAATAGAGAGAGAGATATATATTGAATAGAAAAGAGACCTGTCATTTGGTACCATTGAGATCTTGTTTTGAAGTGAGGTGTTTTTGTTAAAAAAAAGAAAAAAGAAAAACAAAGTACCTTTGACAGCACTTTTAGGTCGGCACGGAGTTGTGATACTTTTAATAGAAAGTAGTTTTCGATGCTAAAAGTATTTTTGAGTTATTTGGTAAACATTATTCCATAAACAATATGGTGCTTTTAGAGTAGTTTTTTGTGCTTAAAAAAATATATTAAATTTATTATTTCATCCTATATTATGAACTAAATAAAGAGATAAATAAACTTAAAAATTTTAAAAATAGCACATTATCTAATATAATAAGTACTCACTAAACTATGTACCCAAACAATATACTTAAAGTAATTGAAAACTCAATAAGTGCTTATATTAAAAGTTCTATCAGATGAACTACTTTTCAATAAGTTATCTCAATTTTAAATAAGCCTTTAAAAGCTTTATCAGGAAAATATTTTTCAATAAAATACTGCAATTCCAAACAGGCCCTTAGCTGAAATTTAAATTTAGTACTTTTAGAATTATTTTTGTATTTGAAAAAAATAAAACTTTAAATTTAATCATTTCACCCCAAATTTAATAAAGATATAAATATATTTTAAAAATTTTAAATTACACATTCTCCGATACAATAAGTATTTATCAAAGTATGTATCCAACAAACGTACATATTTAGAAGTGGAAATGCATTAGGGTACATACTATAGACTCTCAGTTGTCTGGTGTCTTCAATTAGCAAATCCAGTGAGGTTAGCCCTTGACTAAAAAATGGATTCAACTCTTTATTATATTTAATTTTTGTTGAGCTCCACTGTAATTTCTCATAATTACATAAACCTCCCTAGAAATCTTCAAAAAACCTCTTTTTTTTAAAAAAAAAATAAAAATTTGACACGATAATTTTCATGCAATTCTTGCTCCACCTCTACACAAAGAGGAAGGGTAGACGCAAAAGGGTTTTGAAATCCCCCGTTCTACGCCCCAAGAGTAATAGCCAATAGGCCTCAACTTACAAGGACTTAAAATCCCTCATGGTGGCCAACCCAGCCCGCCCCACAATAACCTGCCTAGAGAAAAATCGAAGTACTAAACCAGTAGTCTCCCCTTTCCTTCCCCGAGACCCTTTCCTGAGAGTTGCTTTGCTGCTCAGCTTTCCTTGTTCAGCTTCAAATCTTCCTGTCTCAAGAGTTCGTCCCGGCCGGAGCACAGATAAACCAAAAGAATCAGAATGGTGATACTATTCTATTTCCAATACATACTGTTCTTTGAGGCTATCTCTCTTTTAAATTTCGTTTTCAAATTTTTGATGCTTCAATAAGAATTTTAATGCTTTCCTCAAGGACTGCCTTTTTCAATTGTTGTGACGTGGATTCGTGTTTTCTTGCAGTTGTTTTTCTCCTATTTCAAGGATTTGGTAGGCAGAGAAGTCACTGTGGAACTAAAGAATGATTTAGCAATTCGAGGGACCCTCCATTCGGTCGATCAGTACCTCAATATCAAGCTTGAAAATACTAGGGTTGTTGATCAAGAAAACTATCCCCACATGGTACAGGCGTTTCTACTCTTTTCTTCTAGGGTTATGTTTCTGTTGTGGGTTTTAGGGCTTTTGATAATTTCGAGTGAAAATTATTCAATTTCTCGTTTGATTTTGATGTTGTGCTAAGAAATTTTCTGTTCAATGCGTGATTTGTATCTCTCTTTGATCATCTTTTGCTTTGTTAAAAGTGTTACGAAAGTGTATGAATCTAACATGTGATTTTGGAATCTTAACAAGGAATCAACATGAGAAGGATGTGGTGCCATGGTTTTCTTGAATGACTTTATAGTTTAAGTAATTTTTGAGTGTGTTGTAGTCTTTAAGGTTTTCGGTTTTCTTGTTGTGACTCTGGGTTTTGTAAATGTATTGTTCTTTTCAAGTGCTTCTTGTACTCGTTACTTTCCTGAGGAACCTGATTTTTCATACAAGATGCATAAAAACTTTACAAACATGTAGTGTGTTTTTCAAAGACCAAAATATATTACAACTATTGGTCCTTTCTTGTACATCAATCTGTGAGCTTATGAATAATTTTTGAAAATTGACTAACTTTTGTGATTGGTTTTGATTTTCTGGTAAAGGTAAATTTCATGATCTATTGTTCTTCATTTCAAGTGTATTGACAAAGGTATAATGGAAGCTGAATGATATTTTGCCTTTTTGTGCTTCTCTAATCCAAGGAGTAATATATAGTTGAAAATGTTAGAGGTTTCATGGATGAAAAGGTCGAATAATTTTCTAACAAAACTTTGCAGTTCTAGTTAGAAGGTTTATCGAATACTATGTGCTATAGCAATGTTAGATGCACATCTTTTCTGATTGAAGAATAAAAAAGATCACGGTTTTAAGGAATGCTGCAACAAGGGGGTGGGTTGGGGAGGCCTTATCAGTTGTGTCTAAAAGTTTTCAGTCAGAACTCTCAAACGTTTTTTAGTCCACTGTTGGAACTAATGGTCTAGGTTTTTGTGGCTGTTTCCCGTGTCTGATTTGGTTCTTCTATTGGTATAGGAGATTCACTATTCTTCTCTGCCACCATGTATGAGAAGTTAGTCTGTGGATGGGTCTGAACAAATTATTGTCATCTCATTATATTATTTATGTCTTTGCTTCTACTGGGCTGTATTTGGCAATCTACTGGAATTAAACCTACTGGAAGTACAGAGCTGGCTATTGCCCCTTGTGTTAATGTAATGACTAGTAAGTCTGTCCTGAATGAAAAGTTTAGGTTTCATCTCATATTGTTATAAGATGATTATAGTCACTGACTTATGAAGATAATTTAGAATGAAAAAATGGTAAGCGTGGCTCTTATTGGGAATTGGAAGCAGTGGACCTCGTGGTTCCAACAAGGCATCTGGTACGTCCACGATTGGCGGCCTTTAGCATGTTGGATATGATGAACCTTTAGTAGCATTATGATACTCTTCTTCTTGGTTTGGCAGCATCCAGGACAGGGCATACTTGTGTTCGTGTCAGAATTTTTTTTGAGATGCACCCATAGCTGTTATTGATTTAAACTTATTTAGTGTTTTTTTTTTTGGAACTTTTAATCCTTTCCCTTTATCCAATCAAGTTCTCAATTTTAACACGTTCAGATCAGTTTGGATATCATGCCCCTTCCTAGGCCTTATTCCTCGCGTTCTCATCTTACATCTGGATTGTTCTTAAATTTTGCTTGACATAATGTTGGAATTATCCATTCATCTGGTCATTCAATTGCAGCTTTCGGTGAGGAACTGCTTCATTAGAGGGTCAGTGGTGAGATACGTCCAGTTACCACCAGAGGGAGTTGACATCGAACTGCTTCATGATGCAACTAGAAGGGAAGCTCGTGGTGGGTAAAGGTCTAGCAATGACATTGTGCATGAGCCTTGGATTGAGATATTTGACGTATCAGTTTTATGGCTTATATTTGTTGTATTAGCAAAACTTCTCAATTGTTTACTTTGTAGAATGTGGTTGGTCAGAAATGTTTTGGAGTTCACCGTACGGGATATTTTTAAGATGGCCTTGACATCTCGTTTATATTTGATGATAAGTTGTTTCTTGGACGGTGCTAGCTTTTGTACTTGGAAGCCGCCTCACCTCCTTGCACCTTGGTAGCTGATCAGTTTCTTCTGGTGGGATTGTGAGCAGAGCCATAAATATTTTGTACGAATAGGCGTTCAATGACCCCAAATCCTTAGAAACAGAATACTTTTAATTTAAAGACTAGGAATGGCTGCAAGAGAATGGGAAAAGAAATAATCACATGGAGTTGTAATGTGCCTGTTTATATTTTAGGCTCCAAAAATGAAGCAGAGAATTTATATTTACATTTTAATAAAAGTAAATCGAGATTAATTATCTGTAACTGAGATTAGTTTCATATAAGCGCGTTTAAAACCAAAATAGCGCCAATAAATCCAGTCGCTGAATATTCTGGATTGGTCCCAAGATTTTTACAACTCAGAACGGGGCCTGCAAGTCCGGCCCCAGCATTCTTGAATTCATCCAAAAATTTCAGTTATTTGCCAGACAAGCCCCCCGCGCCCCCCCCCCCTTCCAAAAAAAGAAAAGAAAAGGAGTTGACGGGCCTTTTTACTGTGATTTTCTTTCCTTCCCTCGTCAATCCAATATACGTACTAATATTATCATAACCTTTTTTTTTTAACCAGAAATTAATAAATTTCCTTTCTTTGCGTAATTTAGGGAGGAATAGGATAACAGGCCTTTGTGTCCATGGATACTCTAAAGATCTCTCATGGATACTCTAATTACGTGGCTCAAAGGATACTCTAATTCCTTGTGGGTCAAATAATCATGCATGCATGTCTTAACTGGTTCCTCAAAATCTGTTTTCTGATCTTTTTTGGACATTTTTAGGTTCTTTCCCCGTAGAGAAACTTGTAAGATTTTCCTTTTTTTTTTTTTTTAAACTAAAATGTTAAGCGTATGTAAATTTTGCATTTATATATCCCATCAATGCTATAGATTCGCTGTCTCTGCATTTTCCTCCATCCTCAAAACCTCGTCGCAACCTTTTTGTCATCGCTCTCTCCTATTCCCCTCCAGAAAAGAGTTTTTGGAACAGATTTTAAAAACTCTCCGCTTGTCTGAAGCAAAGAAGATCACCAAGAATTAAATTAGTCTCTTCTGGTCTTTGACGATGGAAACTCACGTTCTTTATCCGGTACTCAGATCACTTCAATTTTATTTAGCACATTTTAGCATGTTACATTTCTTATGGTGCCATCATTTCTTCTTCTTCTTCTTCTTTCTTTTCGGACGCTTTTGTATAAAAAAATAATAACTAGCACTTTTATTTTAACCCGCAGATCATTGTTCTCAGAGTGAACATAAATTGCTGCAAGGACTGCCCTGAGACGCTCAAGAAAGCATTATGGAGTATCAATGGTAATAGTTGTTCGCTACAATTAATACCTTTATGTTTTGTATCTTTTAAGAATAATGTTTTCCAATTTCCCAATCCGAATTCAATGGTTTATATATATATATATATATATATATATATATATATATATATGGCTACATTAACTAATTATGCTTGTGTTCGAGATCTGAAAATTCGGCTGTGTAATGCTGTCCAGGTGTCTATTCGGTTGCAGTGGATCCAGAAAAGAAGTTGGTGTATGTTGCAGGCAAAGTAGACCCAAAGTTACTGCTAGATTCCATTGCAAAAATGGGGAAAAGTGCGGAAATTTTGTCCTGCGAAGAAGGGGCCAACAAAGACAAGAGACAAGCTTATGATGACCACTTCTTCAACCGTGGACAAAACTATCACTATCACGGGAAGGAAGACTACAACTTCCGACGAACTGGGATGGAGCAGAAGCAATCTGGCAAGAAAGAAGGAGATGATGACCACGAATTTGAAGATTATGTACCACCCAAATTTGATCCACACCTATGCAGGGATCCTTTCTGCAAACTTCACAATAGAAGACCGATTTTTCATGAGAAGGTACCTGCGTGGAACAGTCCCCACCACTCTGCCCGATTTTTCCACGGAGCAAGTCCCATGTTTTACCATGGGAGTCACCTTGATGACTACTATTCTCATCCCGGAATGTCACAACCCGGTTATGGTGGATATGGTTCCCATGGAGATGATAGTGGTTGCACAATTATGTAGATAGGCTCTTTCTATCGCTAACTCCAGATTTTCTCCTTTTTTGTGATTTGGAGTTATTGGCAAATAACAAGAACGTGCGCTAGATCTTTGCCTCTCCTAGAGAGCCCTAACGTCACCCCTAACTACAAAACCTGTTTTATGCACATTTCTCTTTGTGTATGCTTCGCTTGTATACATTTTTTTTTTTTTTTTTTTTTCGGGGCAACGATAACAATTGTATAACCTATTCTATCTTAATCTATAAAGGAGGGGAAGCCTAAGGAGGCTTGTGTGTAGGAGCTAGTAGGTATGTAGACCTGACTTAGACCAAGAGGATGCTATAACATTACCTTTGAATTTTTTTTTTGCTGCAGGTGGGGTTTGAACTCCTACCTACAGTCAGTCCAAGGAGGATTTATTTGGTGTTCACTTTCAACTAAGTTTGTTCAAGCCTGTGTTTCAATCATATGCAACTGCAAGATTGTCTTGAAACAAACACACATAATTATACCTCAACACACGTACCGTGGCATGTCTAGGACTTTGAGAATGTTCTTTGTTCCTTAATTCATACTTTAATTCATGCTAGCACAGCTTATAAGTTAAAGCTAATACTGCTAGTTTTTGGTTTCTTATTTCAATTCCCACCAGATGCTGCATGATGCCTTGACGTACTAGGGAAGGTACCTATTAAAAAAATTGGGAGATCTCGATACGCAAAAAATCAATTATGGATACAACCTCCTCATTGGCTCCCGGACTAGCATTTCCTTGAATCTTTTCATAATCACCGACCATTGCATCTAAGGGAAGTTCGCGGACAAAAAATATATTCATTTGGAGTAGAAGATACGGACCTTCAAATTCTTGTATGTTGCTAAGAATCTTTTTTCCTTTATACTAATGAAAGATAATTAAAGAAACTTGACTCAAGTAAGAATGGGTGCAATTAAGTTTCGAGATTTGTCCAGAGATTTTGTTTCTCATAATATATAAGCTCCAACCGTCCTTCTCTCGTGAAACATTCACCTTATTAATTCCTCTCGACCGATCTCGCGATTCATTCGCCTTATTATTGATTCTTATTTCTTGCTGTTAAGCGCACAGAAAATCCCTGACACTCGAACAAAGGTACGCTCTCGATCTGCTGCTGCTTTTCGTCCTTCTCAATATCGCTTGATGCATGAGACAGCAATTGGACTAAAAGAGTGAAAAAACTTCTTGTTACATCGCTTTCATGCATGTCGTCCATACTCTGCAAATGCTGTCACGACAGGGATGGTAATCATGATATAGAATAAAGACGACGTAGTTCTTGTTTTTTTAACCTTTCTTTTCTATCAATCATTGTTTAACATACGTACCATACCTTACTGAATCTGGGATCGATGAAGCAACCATTTTAATCGTTGTTGTACGTTGGATGAATTTTGGAACAGTCAAAAGGCCAACCAATCTAGAATGGAGTTTGTCAAATGATGAACGAGTGAAAACAAATACTACATCATTCCGTCTGTTAACTTCTTAATTGATGATCAAGAACAAATCTAGGGATGGAACTGAGGCCGGAAAAAATCCACTTGAAATTTTGAGTATGAAGCTTTTTGTAACATCATTTATTCGATGAATTTGTGAGTGACTCTTCACTAGTGCAATTCGATGAATTTGGTGAATACTACTTGTTCTAAAATGACGCATTCGTGGTTTTTGCATGTTGGTGTATGCATCTAATTGGGGTAGTTGCTGGTGCCCCTGAGATTGGTGCAATGGAGCCTTATGCGGATGCTGTAAGTTGTAACCAGACGACATTTATTTTGTAATTAAAACTTGATGTGTTAATCAATACGTACTAACCTCCATATATATATATACTTGTACGCATAATTATAACAAAATTTCAATTTCTGTATTGGCAGAGTTGTGTGTTGAAAGTAAACGTACATTGCGAGGCATGTAAGATGAAGGTGGTCGAGGTGCTGAGTTCCATCATCGGTAATGATCCCTTCACTCCAGTTAGTTGCATCATACGTAAAATTAAGTTATGCTAATATATATATATATTAAAAAAAAAGTAGTATTCCTATTTGATAATTTTAATCTGATCAACTTTTGTCATTGAAGATTTTTGTAGTATACTAGTATAGCGATCAGACTGGTATACGAAAAGAATGGTAATTCATCACTTTAACCACATGAGATGACATAGAAATATCCTCATGGGTTATGGCAGCATCTCTTTCTAACTATATATATGTATATATATGTGGTGGCAGGTGTGTATACGGTGGAAGTTGATGCACGAGAAGGGCTAGCAAAAGTGTACGGCGAGGTGGATCCAAACATACTTCTAATGGCATTATCAAGAAGTGGGAAGCATGCGGAGGTAGCATGGGTTAGGCTGAAGCATCCTGCGCTCAGCAATGACTGCCATAATTCCGGCTGCCATGGCAGGTACACGGGAAGGGGCCCGTCATGGTATGATCAGAATGGTTACTGCCATCTAGGCCAACAACCCTTCTGCCCAAGGAGGAGGGCAATGGCAGATCATCAGGATCCTTACCAGCGCCACCATGGATGTGGTGGTTATGGTTATGGACCGTACGCTTATCCGCCGGGCGCTGATGATACCGCCCCTTACTGCAGCGTCATGTGATTTGGCTTCAGAGTTTGCACCGCCTGCTTCTGGTTCCTGACATCCTTCCCTTCCTTAATATGGTCTAGTTTTTGGAGACCACACTTTTTTGGTTTGTTGGTTTGATGATGGACTTGGATTTAAGCTGTGTTCCAGACCCAACTCCCTGTAGTTGGGTCATGGGTGTTTGTTTTGACAGGTCAAATATTAGCATTTAAATTGGCCTGAAGTAAATTGATATTTCCACTTTGGATCCTTCCATTCATTTAAAAAAAAAAAAAAAAAAGAACTGTATCAAACGGCCGCCCAATTCTAGTGTCAAATCGTGGCCGCGGAATCGAAGACGAGAGAGCAACTGCAAAACCGCTAAATCTAAAAACCTTTCCTGGCTTCAAGTTCTTCAGACAGATTTCGAAGCGTCCAAATTATTGAGGAAAACTGCTTTGATTTTCTTTCTCCATCATCTTTAAAAGCATTTTTAGGTTGATATTTTCATGGAGTTAGACGAAGATCCTCCTCAACAAGTCCTAACAACGACGACAATTCCCACAATTAGGTACTCCGTCTGTGAGCGCCCTACCTATTTTTTTATGCTCCGTGGAAACTTTTATACCAAGCATGTAACTTTTGTGCATAATCGTCCAGCAATTTGGTCTTCTACATTTATTGCCTTTTTTTTTTTTTTTCCGGTCTTCGACATTTATTGCTTTTGGTTGTTGATATTAAGAATTTCTCCCAAATAATATCTCAATTTGGGATGCTCCGACCTGTTTCCACGCCGAAGGGGGACTGGAATTTAAGTGCCAGGTCAAATTTACCACCTTCTGTGGCTTGCTTGTATTTTGTTTGTTTAAAGTTACAATTGCCCTTCTAAAATTAGGATTCCTGGTTCTCTGTAGTTTTATGTAGTAACTTAAGATGCCTTGCTCGTGTTTACTTAGTCTGTTCGAGGGAGATTCCAAGCCTCCCAAGGGGAATGGGAAAGGGGAGGACTTGAAATGCCTTGCTTTATCTAAGTTATTTAAACAGAGAATGTCTGCAGAATCTGGCAATCGTAGTCATTCATGTAGTTAACAAATTATTAGGGTTCCCTGAGAGTTAACAAGATCTTAACGAATGGAAAATCTCTGAGTCATTATGGAAGAATGCGGACTTTTTTACTATTAAAATTTGACCTATTGTATCTGCTTTATTTCAGAATCTTTGCTCTTTTCGAGGTCACCTTAGCCTTATTTTTTGGCCCAAAACTCTCTTTTCATATCCAAAAGATGGTGTCCCCCTTAATGCGTATTAATGATGTTTGACTGCTGGGGACCTTTTCCCAGGCATAAATGTGCAGCATGTTTCAAGCAGTATAAGAAGAAGGAGCATCTCATTGAACACATGAAGGCCTCCTACCACTCTATTCATCAGCCTAAATGTGGGGTATGTCACAAGTATTGTAAATCCTTCGAATCTCTGAGGGAACACATCCACGGTAACATATTATGCAATGATCATGGAGATTCTCTGATTGGAATTTGAAGGTCATTCAAGCTGGTTAGTTGTCAACTTTTTGTCCTTTAAACTTGTAGGTCAATTGTCTAAACCATCTTGTTCAAGAATATTTGCAGAGAGGGGTTGCATACTTTGCTTGGAACTGTTTGACAGTGTGGATGCTCTTACAAGTCACAAGTGTCAGTTACCTGCTCCTGATCCTCTTGTGAGTTGGATTAGAAATATTTACTTGTAACTTATTATTTAACTCCAGAGAGGTCTATAGCTTATGTTCCATAAAGTTATCTGTTATCATAATCTCAATGATGCTTATCGCGGAAACCATTACATAACTTGTTAACAAATGCTATCAATGAATATACATCACTGTCTCAGTATGGTGTTGCAGGGAATGATGAAGTTGCCTTGTGTAGAACCTCAAATTAATAAGTTAGCATCGGACATCGAAAAAGGCATTGGGAGAGGTTACGAAGCCATTGCCTTAGATTGTGAAATGGTAGGTGGTGGAAGCAATGGGTCACTTGATCTCTGTGCGAGGGTGTGCCTTGTTGATGAATATGAGAAGATACTTTTCCACACTTATGTGCTACCTCAAATTCCTGTGACTGACTATAGGTATCTTTATCCATAATCTTTTTGTTGTTTTGAGTTTTATGGTTTATGGTTGTACGCTTTGATCATGTTCCTCTGCACAATTTGCATAAGGTTTGAAGTCACTGGTATCAAAGAGGAACACCTGAAAGGTGCCATGCCACTCAAGGAAGTGCAAGACCAAATTCTACAGATTCTCTGCAATGGGGAGTCGGTTAAGAGCATATGGTGCAGTGGCGGACAAGCCAAGGTTCTTGTGGGTCATAATCTTGAGCACGACTTGGACTGCTTGAGAATGAATTTTCCTGATCATCTACTGAGGTTTTTTTAATCCAAAATTGCTATAATTTTGGATATCGAGAATGTTTGGTCCTTGATTATGACTGAGATCTTATCTCATGTTTTCTGCAGGATAATGGCTACATTGATTAATTCTTTAGCTCTTCCTTAGTACATGTATAGTTTCCTGAGCAATTCAAATCCTCCAATGCACTCTACAGTTGTTTGCATGTATTTATAACAAAGAAACCAGCATTTTCTGGACAAACTGCAACATGTTTACTTGTTTAACTTCAATTGGTCGTACATGACATTCAGCATATTTTATTACTTGTTTTCATTGCTCCTGAGATTTGACTTTTCCATATTGTTGTTGGAATCCCTTTTGACAAAGTTTTGAAGTCTTGTCTTATAAAATTTAATTGTGTTATTAGTTTACCATGCCAGAAACCGTCAACTGCAAAAAGGATGAAAGACAAGAAAAAAGTCAGAGAAAGATAGGAATAGAGCAAAACTTGTAGAATAGCATCCTTTATGGCTTTAAATTGGACTTTTGTGACATCTTTTGTATCACTTTTCAATTAGAAAATGCTGAAGTTGAAAATATATAAAATGCGTGCTTGCATAATTTGGGAATAACCATTATTAAAGCGGTTGACATAGTCCAAGGGTTGTGCTTGGTTGTTAATGAGCTCCATTTTTGGATCATTTATGTGGGCATTCTGACCCTTGTACCTAAACTTTGAGGGGCAAAAAAGAACTACTGTCATTTTTTTTAAAAAGAAATTCTATATTCTATTCACTGCTTCGTTTACTTTCACATACTTATTTTCCTATCTGTTTCTTTGTACATGCAGGGATACTGCAAAATACCATCCCTTGATGAAGACTAATCTTGTCAGCCACTCACTCAAGTATCTTACAAAGACATTTCTAGGGCAAGTTTCTTAGCTTTAAATAATCTATCAGTTATTGTTTGGGTTTTCTTTCACATAACAGCTCTTAATCTCAGCTTTTTCTTAACTATCATTGGTGTTTCACGATGATGCTCTGTCAAAATTTCATGCTGAAAGGCAATTTCAAAAAATGAAGAATAGAAATTTCATTTTTTTTTCTCACATTGGGCAGTCAGTGTATGCCTAAACATGGAATCTGGTTAAATATTTTTTTTCCCTTTTATTTAGTGTGAAACCTTATTGCGTCCGAAATGGATTAAAAATCAGTTCATATAGTTAGCTTTTTAGTTATGCTATACAGTGTAAAAACAAGAGCTACCTGCATTATTGTGATATAATGAGTTTGAAGTTCTTCTGTTGTATGCTGTATAACAGGAATGGATCATATCAAATTTCTTTTTCTGGATCTGCAATGCTTCTGGATGTCATTAAACTCTGTAATACGTCAATTATCTTTCTTAGAGAGTTTTATTAACTTGTTTATTGTGTTCGTTTTTGCTTTACAGGTATGATATCCAAATTGGGGTGCGCGATCCTTACGAAGATTGTGTCTCTGTGATGAGGTTGTATAAGATAATGCGCTCCCAAGATCACCGGATGGATGGGATTGGGTGGTCGTTGCCAGTTCAAGACAATTTCTGTTCAAGCACTGTTTATGATTCATACAAACTAAATGAACTTGAGCAAATGACGCCAGTTGAACTCTTTAGGATATCCGGGTCAAACTATAAATGTTGGTGTTTGGATTCAAGCCAAGCCTTTGAACATGCTTGCAATACTTGCGTTAAAGCTGAAATGTCAAATTCTTGGAGGGAGTGATGTTTGCTTTCTCATTGTACATTACTTTGGTCATTTTAGAGGTTAGTTATTATGACTGGAGAGTTTTTGTTGATGTGCATTAAGTTTATGAGAGACTTCTTTCATGGATGCCGCGTTTTTTTGGCAACTGTTCTGCTTTCATCATAGTGACGCCTTTGCATTTTTTGAGGCTCGTCATAGCCACGTACCAAAAAAAGAGTGGAAACTTGGCGATTGAACTGATGCGCCTCTTTTTTCCCAGTTCCTACCCTCGACTGAATGTTACGCCGCATCAGCAGCATAAAATAACATCTAAAAGTCTTACCTGTAACCTGGGAAAAAATAAAATGGTCCTCCAATTCATCAGGAATTGGATATCCTGGTTGATTTGTTCTACTTTTTTTTTTTTTTTTTCTGGGTTGTTCTACTATCCTTTAATAATATGTATTACAAGTAGCAGGGGCTACAGCACCGTTTATCAAATATTTGCCGCACCACTTAAAAAGTAAAAACATTATTATTTTCTTCATTGTTATTTTTGTTTTTGAATTGGGGTAAAAAATTATTGTACGGATATATGTTTTAAGGGAGATTAGTGATATTTTGTAAATCTCAGAGGATGGCAGTAAGTGAAAGTGTAAGAAATCTAGGGAGAGTTTTCTCAAATTATCCCTTGACATTTCTTTAGTAACGGCTGAGTATGAAACCAAGCAGCAAGATCGAGAAAGAAATAGCCAATCAAGCTTATACTACTAATAATAAAGTCGTAGTGCTACTGTATTATTCCCAGGCCCCCCAAAACTGACTTTTCTTTTGGAAACCCCAACATCAGGTGGCTCCCCGGCACACACAGCACGCACAGTCACAAGTCACGACAGTGGACTAGAAAAAGTCTCCCTC